AAAAAAAAAAAAAAAAAAGGTTGGACAAAGTGGCTTACGCCTATAATCCCAGCACTTTGCCTGAGGTTGGGAGTTCGAGACCAGCCTGACCAACATGACAAAACCTTGTCTCTCATAAAAATACAAAATAATAATAATAATAATAAGGGAAGTGTACTCCTGAAAAGTTTATAATAACATAATTTATATAGAAAACTAGGTATTGGCTGGGCGTGGCGGCTCACACCTGTAATCCTAGCACTTTGGGAGGCCAAGGTGGGTGGATCACCTGAGGTCAGGAGTTCAAGACCAGCCTAGCCATCATGGTGAAACCCCATCTTTAAAAAAAAAAAAAAGAAAACTAGGTATTAATAGAAGAGGCCGGGCCGGGCATGGTGTCTCATTCCTGTAATCCCAGCACTTCGGGAGCTGAGGTGGGCAGATCACCTAACGTCAGGAGTTTGAGACCAGCTTGGCCAACATGGTGAAACCCTGTCTCTACTAAAAATACAAAAATTAGCTCAGTGTGGTGGCAGGCACCTGTAATTACCAGCTACTAGGGAGGCTAAGGCAGGAGGAATTGCTTGAAGCCGGGAGGCAGAGGTTGCAGTGAGCTGGCATCATGCCATTGTACTCCAGCCTGGATGACAAGAGCAAAGCTTTGTCTCAAAAAAAAAAAAAAAAAGAAAGAAAGAAAAGGGCCAGGTGAGGTGGCTCACACCTGTAATCTCAGCACTTGGAGAGGCCGAGGCGGCAGATCACCTGAGGTCAGAAATTTGAAACCAGCCTGACCAAGATGGCTCCAACTCTAAAGAAATGGACAGTTAATAATATTTACAGTTCAATAGCTAGTTTCTTAAATCTTAAGCAATTTGAAAGTAGACAAAATACACAATTTAACTGAGTTTTAGACAGGAGAGCAGGAATGAATATGTTCATTCAACTGTAACTGTGCCCAATCAAACCTCAGGTAGAAATGGCAGAGTCATACAGAAACCGTAACTCAGAACATATGGATAAAAGGAAACATTTTTACTTGTTCTTTTTATTTAAGGTACAAAGAATAGTACATAAAGTGAAATGTCCATCACCTAGACACAACAGTTATTGATATTTTGTCACATTTGCTTCATTGATTTTTTTTTTTTTTGGCTAGAGCTCTTTAATAAAAATCACAGAAATATAGTTTCACCCCTAAATATTTTACTCTGGAGAAAAGCATTTCCTAAATCATAATGCTGTCACACCTAACAGAATTAACAGCCCTGTTATCACCTAATGCCCTGCCATATTCATTTTCCTGAGTCAGAAATGTCTTTTTTGGGTTGGGCCTGGTGGTTCATGCCTATATTTCTAGCACTTTGGGAGGTCGAGACAGGAGGATCACCTGAGGCCAAGAGTTCAAAATGAGCTTGGTCAACATAGTAAGACCCGGTCTCTACTAAAAAAAAAAAAAATTTTAAATTAAAATTGCCTGTGGCAGGTTGGGCACAGTGGCTCATGCCTGTAATTCTAGCACTTTGGGAAGTGGAGGCAAGAGGAACAGTTGAGCCTAGGAGTTTGAGCCCAAGCTGGGCAACAAAGTGAGACCTCATCTCCTCAAAAAATCAAAAGTTAACTGGGTAGCAGGTGCCTGTAATCCCAGCTACTTAAGAGGCCGAGGCAGGAGAATCGCCTGAACCCAGGAGGCAGAGGTTGCAGTGAGCTTAGATTGCGTCATTGCACTCCAGCCTGGGCAACAAGAGCGAAACTCCATCTCAAAAAAAAAAAAAAAAGTTAACTGGGCACGGTGGCATGCATGCCTGGGGTTCCAGCTACTCAGGAGGCTGAAGTGAACATGATCCTGTCGCTGCACTCCAGCCTGGGTAACAGAGTCAGACCCTATCTCAAAAAAAAAAAAAAAAAAGCTAACTGATGGTGTGAGCCCATTATTCAGAGACTGAGGTGAGACAGTCCTTTGAGCCCAGGAGTTCAAGTGCAAGGTTATGGTAAGCTATGATTGTGCCACTGCACTCTAGCCTGGGCAACAGAGACCTCATCTCTGAAAAAATTTTTAAAAATAAGTTAACTTGGCCGGGCGCGGTGGCTCAAGCCTGTAATCCCAGCACTTTGGGAGGCCGAGGCGGGTGGATCACGAGGTCAAGAGATCGAGACCATCC